TTAATTCTAACCAGAATATTATAAGTATACCATTTATTACGATTATGTCAATAATAAGCTCATAATAAATAACGATAAAAAATGATCCAAATCAATATTTCATTAACATAACAAATTTTATTCAAACCATTTCTCTTTCAGATTTGTATTAATGGTAAGTACAATTTAGAACACATAAAGATTAAAACGATTATTACCATCATAAATTTTAATTCGTGATTGTATTATTAGTTTAATATCAGATTAGAAACTATAAACATTTTAAATTTAATTGCAGTGCTCTATTGTTGAGCTCATATTCATTTATACTGATTATTTAAATTTTAATGAAAACAACTTAAATCCTTTTATATTTTTTTATAGATCAGGGTGTCGTTATTTCCAATGTTTACCTACAATTTAGATAATGAATCTTGATATATTGGACCGTCTGGATTGATTTATCGATTGTTGTAATTAATTTAATTATAGACGTGTTCCTGTGCGATTAATACCATTTATGTAATAGATTTCTCATTTTTGGTTGATTGTTTAAAATGCATACAAAACAAGGGAATCACAGAATCTGTTACTTCAAACGTGCTTAACCGTGTGTGGAAAGAACTTGATTATCGTTTAGATGTGTATAGAGCAACAAATTCTTTTATTTGGTGAAAATTTCACATTTCTATCTTGCTTTGTTCCTTTCCTGTGACAAGTTAAAAATGCACCATGACTTTATGGATCTACATTGTTTGTAGAAGGGTTGAGTCAACAAAGCACGCGTACTTAGAAACAAAGATGTTAGCACGACCAGAAAGTTTGTAGTTCTAAGGCCCACTTTTACCATCCTCCTGATAAACTATCTATACCATTTCCAGATCAATTTCGCAGACTTGGGTGTCAACGTTCGCACTGCGTACGAATGGTTAAAAAATGATCAAGAAGATCCGAAACCTAAAGGAGGTTCCAAGTCTAAAAAACTCTTGCAATTGACGAAGCGTTAGTAAGGTGGATCGAAGAAGATAGTACGTTAACGCTTAAAGATCTATCTAATCGCGTGCATAATGAATTTGAACTTCGTGTTTCAATTAATACGATAAAGAACTGGCTGGACGGTAAATTATTTTCGCTTAAAAAAATTCGACCACATGTTGCAAACATCAATACGTACGAAAATAAAGTCAAACGAAGGGAGTATGTTGAAAAAATTTTAGAAAGCCGGGGTAACGGTAGAGACCTCATTTGGATTGTTGAGTGCAACTTTAATTTATATTGCCGTCGAAATGAGGGTAGATCAAAAATTGGCCATAGAGCTCATGTGGTTGTTCCGGGAAGTAAAGGAAATAATTTGCATTGCATTGGCGGGATGTGTTCCACACAAATTGTATCTTTTGAGCATAAAAGAGGTTCGTATAAAGGTGCAGAATGCAAAGTATGATTTAGAGGTTTAATTGCAACATGTAGAAATTTAGGATTTTTGCACCCGAGTTTTATTATCGACAACGCAAACTTGGAAAGTGTTTTGCAACCCCAAGAGGATGTTCAAATAATACGTTTAGCACCGTATTCATATTTATTAAACCCTATTGAACTCCTATGGAGCTCCTTTAAATCTAAAGTGAAGAGACAGATACAAGTTAGAATGCCAAACGTACTGAACTATGTGCGTTTAAATAATAATCAAGGACTCACTATTGCCGAACGTAGAATGCGGATTTTAGAAGAAATCGCAGATGAAGCAATTAGGGATACTCCCCAGCAACATCTTTTGGGGTATACAAATCATGTGGAGCGTTATTATGCTGCTGTGCTAAGGGAGCANATATATCTGCCAAATAGCATACGGTTTGTAACCATATTTCACAAATCAATTTTGCTGCATATTTGTGATTATGTTCATTTAAAAATAATCTGACTTCATCTTTCAACTCTACAAACCGAGTTAAAATTTTACCACGTGAAAGCCAGCGTACTTCTGCATGCAATAACAAAGTTTTATGCGTACTAGATAGCTCCTCACATAGCAAAGCAAATAATCTGGAATTTAGTTCCTTCTTTATAAAATTTATAATTTGCACTGTTTCTTCCAACGTATCTTTGAGTTTTTGCGAGATACGTCTTACCGCTAATTGATGCCTATGAAGACAACAATGGGAATGTTTAATATGGGGAGCTAGTTGAATAATTCGCGATATTGCTCCTTTTTCGCGACCTAATAAGGATTTTGCTCCATCAGTACAAATATGCGCGCATAAATTCCAACTTATTTTATGTTTTTCCATGTACAAATTAATCAGTTTAAAAATTTCTTCTCCAGTCGTCCTTCCTACGAGGGGTTTACAGAAGAGCATATCTTCTTGCACTGAAGAATTAAAAACATAGCGTACCAGTACAATTAACACAGCTAATCCTGCAACATCTGTGGTTTCATCCAACTGCAATGCAAAAGGATGGTTCGACGTTTTCAGACGATTTATTAAATCATTTTCACAAAATAATGCCATTTCTTCAATTCGTCTTGCAATTGTGGTGTCCGATAATGGAATGCTGTTCACTTCTTCCAGATAAGTCTCTCCAAATTTGCAAGATATTACATCCTTAATGCAGGGTTTGCAATGCGATAGCTAATGCGGAATGAAGCTTATAGTTCATATAACAATAACCAAAAAACGTATTCATACACAAAAGAGTACGTCAAAATAAATGCAATAGTGCCTGTATCGCCTTACAGTTTTTACACTACTGCAGCTACAAGCTACAACTTGCAAACGTGAGACAGTGATCAGCTGACTCCAGCGATTGTGACGTAACATTTACAGCGCGAAATTTTAAAATTATAAGCACGGTTTCATTTTTATAACTATCCATCTTTATGAAAAATATTGAATTTTTAAAATTAGTATACTTATTGAATAAGTAGGGGTTGACTTATTGACTTATATAAAGAAATATTTGGGCATGGCCCACGGAACCCTAGGGGATGGCCCATGGAACCCCAGGGTTCCGCGGAACCTAGTTTGAATACCGCTGGTATAGAGGATGGTTGCCATGGTTACGGCGGTTTTAAGCACTAAATTTATCAAGAGGTGGTAAAAGTGAGTCTAAGTCTGGTATTAGTTCCAGACGTGATAGTGCCAGTGCTATTTTTAGCTATTAGAACTAACATTGGCACCATCACTAGACCTAGTACTACAAACGTTCGGGTTTAGCCGTCTTGAGAGCTAAATCCGAATGTTTCTAGTTCTAGTGTTAGTTCTAGTTTTAGTTCATCAATATATCTTTTAAATTAAGTAATATAACGTTCAATAAAATGAAAGAAAATTGATACATTTTTTATGAACTAAAACTAGAACTAACACTAGAAACACTCGGATTTACCCGCACGTCTCTCAAGACGGCTAAATCAGAATGATTCTAGTTTTAAGTCTTGTGTTAGTTCTAGTGATAGTGTAAAACTAGAACTAACACTAGACCTTGAACTAGAAAGATTCGGGTTTAGCTGTGCGTCTTTCAAGACAGCTAAACCCGAATGATTCTAGTTTTAGGTCTTGTGTTAGTTCTAGTTTTACACTATCACTAGAACTAACACAAGACTTAAAACTAGAATCATTCTGATTTAGCCGTCTTGAGAGACGTGCGGGTAAATCCGAGTGTTTCTAGTGTTAGTTCTAGTTTTACACTAGCACTAGAACTAACACAAGACCTAAAACTAGAATCATTCGGGTTTAGCTGTCTTGAGAGATGTGCAGCTATATCCGAATGTTTCTAGTTCTAGGTATTGTGTTAGTTCTAGTGACAGTGCAAGTGTAAAACTAGAACTAACACTATACCTAGAACAAGAATCATTCGGGTTTAGCCGTCTTTAGAGACGTGCGGCTAAACCCAAATGATTCTAGTTCTAGGTATAGTGTTAATTTTACATAGTAACAGTACTAGTGTAAAACTAGAACTAACACTAGACCTAGAACTAGAAAGTTTCGGATTTAGCCGTGCGTCTTCAGACAGACTTATGTTGTTGAGGAATATTATGGCTAAGGTTGGCACAGAGTGAGAATGAAGATGATATAAAGTAAGTTGAGGAAGGTAACTGACGATGTTGAGAGAGGCAAGTAAATATTGTAAACAGAACTTGTAGAAGAAGCCAAGGAGTATGTAAAAGAAGGTTAAGGAAGATTTGGAATCACACTTGGACTAATCAAGTGTTACATCAGCACTATCACTAGAACTAATACCAAACCTAGTACGTCCTTACCAATCTTGAAAGACGTAGATTAGTTCTAGTGACAATACTAGTGATAATTCTAGCTAAAAATGTTACTAGTTCTAGTAAGTGTGCGTAATAAAAGCCATCATACCTAAATTAAAGTGTTTCAAATTACATTTGGTACAATTTTTTTGGAATTTAGGATAGTGTAAATAAAAAAACAATAATATATACAAGTTTTTCAATATCTATTACGGTGTTAAATGTACATAACTGTCTGGTAATAAATAAAACATTTTCTGTGACTCATCATTGTAAAACTTTTTGAAGTAGATGCATACATTCCTTTATGCTAAAACGCTCGTTTTCATCATTTTTTTTCTGTAAATTACACTTATTACATTACAGGAAAAGATTATAGACAATAAACTGTTCTAACATCAATAGTATCTTTTTTAATAATATAGCTTTATATACATATTACAAACAATACGAGCTAATATAGTAACGACTATAAACTAACTTAACTTTGTGTTTTTTTATGATACTTTATTATTTTATATTGCAGTAATACTTTAACATAAAGTAATTACACGAGAAAGTAATATTAACATCGGGCTGTAAAAAAAATTTTACAAAAAATTCTATTTTAAAAGTATACCGCATCAATCAAATTTAGAACAAAAATGAAGTAACTTTCATTTCGTTTCTATTTAAATATAACTATTATATATTTAAGGTACTATTAAACAAAATTCTAAAAAAAAATAAGCAAAATTAGAATAACTCTATCAAAACTAAAACAAATAAACTGTACAATCTTCTAAATGTTTATGAAAAAAAAAAAATAATAATAAAAATCCTTATTTTTTTTCATTCATTTTAAGATCAAATGTGTATTGGCACATGCACCAACAACTGTGCCCTATCAGTAAACACTTCACTACACATTTCACACTTAAACATGCTTTGCGCGTGTTGCATAGACAACTCAGCCAATTCATGTAAAGGTGTTGAATCGGACACCTCTTGTTTTATATGCATCGCCATTGTGTCAATGTCGGGAGTGATTTGATCCGGTTCCATCTCGTCCTTGTGTTTATTCTTAACGATCATTCCACTTTTAACGATCCGGATAACTTTGGTACCAGGCCCAATGATCAATCGACCAGGTTCGAGACTATTATTTCTTTTCCTATCCTGCTCAACAACACCCGTAGCATTTTCCAGTGAATGTTCCAACCCATTTTGATTGTTTTGCGTTTCACTAGCTAACAAATTACTAACAGCTTGAGCGGTATCGTCGAAAGTGGCCAAAGGATATTTATCCGGAGTTAAAACGTGGTACGACACGTTTTTGGTTCTCGGCCGAATTCGTTCCCCCATAGCTGATTTTAATTCGGTCGGTTGCGTTCTTGTTACTAACGTTTTCGTTTTATGCCTTACCTTGCCCCCTTCGGTTGTTTCAACGGCAACTTTCGTTTTTTGGGTGTGTATCATTTTCGGGCGAGATGGAAGAGATTGCTCCAATTTAATTTTTTTTTTAGCTTTCCCACTGTTTTTAACAAAACTGCTAATGTTTTCAATCGTAGTTGAAAAGCTATTAACAACATCGTTGAAACCGGTAGGAACGGAGGATGATTGTTTATTGGGCGATTTGGGCGACTTTTTTTTCGACCTTTTACGCCGGTCGTTTTCGTCGTCGGATTCGTCGGTGAATTCGTCGTGATTGTCGTCCTCCTCGTCCATATCCATGTGATTCATTAATTCGATTTCGTGCGGTTTTAATTTACGTCTTCTTTTGTATTTTCTTGGGCCGACTTGCGGTTGTCGCCTCATTGCGGTGTTTAAATCGCAATGATGGATTAAATGTACGATTAAATCTTGGGATGTTGCAAACATATCGGAACATACTGAGCAACAATATGGGGTCACGGAATGGCTGTAATTCGGATCGGGTCCAGAATGGTGTGAACGAATATGTTCGCGTAATACGACACGTTGGTTAAAAGCCCTGGGACATACAGCGCACGCGTAAGGTTTTTCGCCGGTGTGGATTCTTTCGTGTTTTCGCAAAGTTCCCCCATCGGCGAAAGCTTTCCAACAATACCTACAACCGTAAGGACGCTCACCTGTGTGGATCCTTAAATGGATTTGTTGAGAACTCCGCGATCCGAAGGTTTTCCCACATTCTTTACATGGAAATTGCCGCCCGGAAACGCTGCTATGGCTGTGGCGGTGATTCATTAACGAACGCCCATCAGGAAATTCTTCCCCACAAACATCGCAAGCAACAACTTTATTTCGATGCGATAACATATGGCGCTTTAATCTTGCGCGGTTATGAAACGTTTTCGGGCATTTCCCGCATGTAAGCACCTTCTCTTTCGTATGCTCCAAAGAGTGTCTAACCAACGTTTTCTTATCCTTACAAATTCGCCCGCACTGTAAACATGAATTTGGAGGTAGATTTTTTCCATGTTTAGCTTGCACATGAATCGCTACAGATTGATCGTCGGCGCAAACTTCCCCGCAAATCATACAACGATGATCCGTATTTCTAGCGTGTACCTCTGCGTGAGCTAATAAATCTAAAGCTCCGGTGAAAGATTCACCACAAACATTACAAACGTGACCGTAATCCGGTTCGTTAATAAATTCTTCTTTAATATGCATTTTTTGATGTCGCCGTAACAACTCGATGCGATGAAATGTTACGCCGCAAGTTTGGCAGAAAAATTCGCCGTATTTTGTGTCTTCTTCCGAATATTCATCGTCTTCATCTTCGAAGCCTTCTTCGATATCTCCGTGTTTATTTCTTAAATGTTCCCTCATTAACGCGGCGTCCCAAAACATTTCCCCGCATTTTTGGCACTCAAAAGGACTGTCTCCGGCGTGAACCCTAGCGTGAGACGCTAACGCTTTTTCCCTTGCAAATCCAACTCCGCAATGTTGGCAAACGAACGGTTTTCGCGGATCGCTTATTGGATATCTCGGCTCGGTAACCGGATGGTTTTCTTGAGGTAAATAATCGACGTAGTCCGATTTAACATTTTCTTCCATGGCTTCCATTAGCCTCATATCTTCATCGACATAATCGTAACTCCTCGAACTTGACGCTCCTTTTCCTTCGGGAGAATCGTCGAATTCTTCTTTTACTTTTGGTTTTTTTCGTTTTTTCAAAAACGGCTTTGGCCGTTTTTGTTTTTCATAATCCGACTCGTCGGGGGTTTCTTCATCGACGTTTTCAACATTTTCCGGTACGTAAGCGTGAATTTTGAGATGGTTCATCAAATCACACTTGCGTATGTATCTTACCCCGCATAAATTGCAACCGTGCGGCCGATCGGTTTGGTGAGAAACCATGTGATTCATTAAATTTGCTTTTTTTCGAAACCTCCTGCTGCAAAAGTCGCATGGGTATGGTCTGGCTGCCGTGTATTGATCCTGATCAAGAGGCAAGGGAATCGACATGTCTTCTTGGACATCGTCACCTTCTCCAACCACATTTTCTTCGCCCCCAACAACTATTTCCGGGCACGCTTCCGACCATTCATCTGCGACCACCTCTTCTCCAACTTGGCAATCAATAAATGGGGCTTCGTTACCTTGCTGCATCACCAGGATGTTATTATCGCTGATGTACACGACGTTATCATTCACGATTTCTTCATTTACTATTTCTTCTTCGTTGGCGCTTTCTTGGACAATTACTTCTTCGCAAACGTCCGCGAATTCGGGCGTTTCTGTCGGGAGGATGTTTTCCATGGGTTCGTTTTCCATACCGCATATTACTTCCTCTTCTTGGACGACAGCGTCGCCCCAATCTAATGCAAAACCTTCTTCCATTGCGTTATAAAGAACTCGTCATTTTCTGTAATAAAAAAAATCGTTTAAATCAATCATATCAAAAAAAAACTTGATTTTAATGAGTTTGTTAAAGACAATATAGTAAGCATAACCTCAAAATTTACCTCAAAATGTCACTTTGAAACAATCAAACTGATTGGTTGGTTAAATACGTTGCTAAGCAACGTAACAATGTATACAAACCTCAACTGAATTGTTGCGAACACAAAAAATTAAAATCCCCAACATTCGAATCAGAAAGGTATCTAAGGAAGAAGAATTTGAAGATGTTAACTAGTCAGAGTTTTATATCTTTCTGTTTTGTATAAGATTTTGTGATGTTAAGCTTCAAAACTTTTATCATTGCATGAGTAGTCCATTTGAGTTGTCTGGTTTCAATATCCCCTAAATCCATTTTTGGGCAAAAATGAGATATATACGCCATCTGTTAGAAAAAGTTGTTTTTTATAAAATACTCAATGATTTGTATTAAAAAACTCGCGAATCCCTTAAAAATTCAAATCAAATAGACAGCCTTTAGATATTAAAGAGAGCTACTTTCGATTTATTTTTAATACTTCCTTCAACATCGGCTTTGGATCTCCTAGCACCGATGTTTGCTCTAAGTGTCTTGAACTCCGGGAAAAAATTAAAAATGAAAAGGTTGCATCTATTAAAACAGTGCTAACTACAGAATACCGAATACATAAGCTCAGGGCCAAAGCATTTTTTGAACAGCTAAAAGAGAAACGGGACGGCCTTCTGACAATTTCTTTTGATTGTCAGAAAAACTTGGTATTGCCCAAAATACCAGATCAAAGTACCTATTATAGTAGACAACTGTACATTTACAACTTCACTACTGTAGTGGGGCACTCACATGCTCCGTTAACAAAAGATAATGTTAAAATTTTCACGTGGACTGAAGATGAACATGCCAAGGGCGCCAACGAAATCGCAAGCTGCGTCTTTTACACTTTAAACAATAGTAACTTAGAGGGAATAGATACACTTCGATTGGTCGCCGATGGATGCGGCGGCCAAAATAAAAATACCATTATGATATGTATGTTGTTCAAATGGCTAAGCAGTATAAGCAGTTCTATTAGAACAATCGAGCTGGTATTCCCAGTGGTTGGGCACTCCTACATTCCACCTGACAGGGTTTTTGCTACTATCGAAAAAGAAATAAGAAAGAAAGAAGAAATTGTAATGCCAGAAGAATACATAAATATTTTTCAAGAACATGCTACTGTTTTTAAACTTGGAAAAGATGTTCCCGATAGTGATTGGAAAGGTGCTGGTCAAAAAATCCTTAAGCCAGTGTCTCAGTGGCATTTTAAATTTAACCAATGTAAGAGATATATTATACGACGTGGCAAAAAAAACGCCATCACCATTCGAGGTGAGTTATCTTACCGTTCAGACACCGGAACATTCAAAGGAGTTTTTAGGAAAAACCAAACCGCCATGAATATCCAGCCAAAAGAAATTCCTACCGGAGTGAAACCAAAAGATCTGAAAATGAGAGATGTAAATAACTTGTTAAGCAAACATTATGGAAAGAACTGGAGAGCGGTAGAAAATTTGGCTTATTATAGAGATGTGTTGGGAAAATTTCAGAACAATAATATTCCTGGCGATTCTCGAGAAGACAGTGGGGACGAAGAGCCTAGTTTATGTGAATCAACCGAAAATATACCTGATGTTACAGTTTAAGAGTTTTTTAAGTACAGTTTTTAAATAACATATCTTTCAAAAAATAAAGTTTCCTGTTATTAGCTACAAAGAGATTTGATTCACTTTCAATTCATGCCTAATCCATTTTGTTCAGATTCAAATGAGCCTTAATCCACAGTTTGGTAGCAAACGCAACCAAACACCATTTTTAAATCCACTTTGTGATTTTTATATCTATTTCAAAAGACGTGGTTATAGAATTTTTGAAACTTCAGTAAGTCTTCTAATAACAAATAAATTATGTTTGAATTATTAACGCCAAAATCATCCCAAAATACTTTTTTGCCGTTTTCTCAAAATCGAAAAATTTGGACTTAAGGGTATTTGAAACCAAACAACTCATTTGATGTTGGTACTATACCTTACTTTTTTTTTAATTTATTGTTTATTCCCAAACAAACATATAGTTGTTTTTTTTCTATAATACTTGTCAATGTAAATTTTTTAGGGTTTCTGTTGGTATTATCTAGGACCCTTATAAAATTTATGTTGTTTTCCTGATTTTTAGTAACATTTTCAATAACTAAATAGTTGAGGTTAAAATACTAATAAATTTTTAGATAAATACGATTTTAACGAAGTACATATTTATTGTAAAAGCGTTCTTTATGCACCTTTTCTTTTTGAATAACGAAAGCTCAAACGCCAGTGTGACATAACTATTTCAAAACATGATAAAACAAAACTTCCTGTTAATTTTGCCAACTTTACAACAATTTGACAGGTATTATAGAAAAAAAATGAACTTTATAAGAGTTCATAACAGGTATACAGTACCGCTTAAAAGTATAATGATAATTTAGTTTTTGCCACATAATTTTTTTGAAACTTTATAAAAGCAGTTTTTCACCATAGTTTTTGCAATGTATTTCACATGACATAGACTTGTGTAGAAGAATCCGTCTCAAATTTGAGTTATTAAAAAATTATTTTTACTAAAATACGCTAAAATAAAGCGATGTCAACAAAAATAAATCATAACTCAGGAAATATCAACATAAGAATCGTGAACGGCAATCAGTCATGTAGAGCAACCTAGTACTTGGTTGAGTAACCCATCCTGTTGATCACTGCCTGACATCTGGGCATGGAATCGATCAATGCATCGATAGTGGACTGGTCGACCTTCACCCACTTCGCCTGCAACTGTTGGAGCTTTTCGTCGGCGGAAGTGGCCCGAACGCTCGTCAACTTGTGTCAAAGAGTGTCTCACAGTGGTTCGAAGCCAACACCGACCCATGTTTTTGCATGGCCAGGGAAGCATGTCATCTTGCAGACAGTCCCTGTACTTCTGGCGGTCCATGGTGCCCAGAGGGGCAGTGATAGCAGCGCTGAAGCACCCCCACACCATGATGGAACCACCGACATGCTTCATCCTGGGAAGCAGGTACTTGGAATTGAAGCAAATGCCCGTAGGATGGCGTATGCACGATATGCCATCAGTTGTGAATAGAGACGTTCTCCCACTGCTGCCAGGTGCAGTTGAGGGGCGCTTTCGCCTACTCCACGTGTTCTGTTCTTAGCTAAAACGAGTGGTTTCTTTACCAGCCGTCGACCAATGAGTCCTGCATCCTTCAGCCTCCTCTTAACCGTCGATGTAGACTCATCAGCACAGTTTATGAAAATGGGTTTGGATTCATCAGTCTTTTTAAGCATTATCTTTCCATTTTTAACCCAAACATACTTATACTCATTTCCATGACCAAACTCTTTCGTGATTTTAAACAATTCCTGATTGTACTTTGTTAACTAATCATTGAAATAAACCTTGTTATTGGTTCCCTCACCAACAAGAATGGAATAGAATGAAGTAGATATACAAAAAAGTATGGCTTTATATCATAGAAATGCCATGGTTAACAATGAAATAGTCACCAAAACAAGCAAGAGTCAAGATGAAATTTTAATTTGTTAAATTGTATCATAAATGAAAGGTTAAGATTACAATATTAATATTAATTTAGTGTTAAATGTACAAAAGTTTATATAAGTTGTTCCATATCTCTAAGACTGTATTGGTTCCCTCATAACCCAGTCTTTTTGTTGTAATTTTATCCTTTCTCTTTTTAACAAAGTTCAATTTATCCTGTTTGTGCCCAAATATAACTTTAATAGGTACCTCACCAGCTTCCCTTTTCCACAATCTAAATGCTTCAATCTCTTCTAATTCAATATTAAGAGAGTTAGCTATTCCCTTCATGATGCCCACTGTTCTTTCCGGATTATGGATTGGTATTCTATGAATTTTTTCCAGTTTTCTTGTTCCCTCTTGTTCTTATCTTGTTTTAACATTCCAATTTCTTTCCTCATACCCTCAACATCCATTTATAACTATTTATTAATCTCAATTTCTTCATTAAACATGATAAGTATGTTGTTGTATTTATCTTCCATTGAATTTAACATTTGGTTAACATCTGATTACATCTTGGTTATTGTTATTTGTGGTGCACCTAATATTGACAAATTTAAATTAAATCTTAAAACAACTTATTTATTCTTCAAGAGTCTTTTTGATGTTTATTCCATTGATTGTATCTGCTCTTTCCATTTGGGGTTGGTTTATGTTTCACTCAATTTCTGCTCCTGTTTTCTTGATAGGATAATGATAAAAGTTAGAGGTTCTTACATTCTTTAATAATTATTAAAAAATTTTATTTATCTTCTGAGGGCTCCGGTAACATTTCCTGATATAGATTTATCTTAACTAAAGTAAATAACGGAATAACTAAACCCTGTATGCAGTGAAAGTATGCTAAATATTGTAATAAAGTTTCAAAAATATTTTTTATATTAAAATTCTCTGTAGTTGTCCTAGTTGAGTTCAATCCATATATTATAATAATTGTAATGCTGTAAAATTAAAATAATAATCTTATAAGTTAAATAAGATGTTGTAAATAATGTAATAAAAATTGAGCGTGTAAACTGGACTTTTATAGGTTACCACCTCTGTTGACAAGTGAGGTTATGCTTAATTGAGGTTAACAAAGCTTTTTAAAATGTAAACAAATAGAAAATATCGATGATCGTTAATAAATTAAAAATGAATGAAAAAAATCGCCGGAAAAGCCGAAATAAAGTAAAAAACGCTTTGTATAAATAGCGTAACAAAACCGCGCCATAGCCTATAACCCGATGTAACGAAAATGGGGTCCAGAAAATCAGACAATTACAATTACATAAATCCGTCGAGACAGTTGGTTAAACGTAAAACGTACGTTTCGGTACGTTACCTCGCGATCGTCAATGAAAATCAATGTAAAAAAGTAACACTTACCCCGATAAACATAGAATAAACTTAAAACCTAACCAATATTCGTGAAAGATAAGCGTCTAGACCTTTGCGACGTTCAGCAAATGGCTGCGCTAAGTGTCACACAGTCGAAGGCGGACTTTTTTTACTTGACACTTTAAGGTAAGCGATTTAAAAATCGGTTCGTTCGATCGTTTTCATCGTTTCGCCGTTTCATTACCGAGCACAAATTTTAAATAATGATATTTTTTAGGGCACAAATAGGTTAAGCGATAAATAACCTCTAACGGCCGCCAAAAAACTAACCTACTTCCTTTGTTTTCCGTAACGGCGGGAAATTTGAATGGACGCTTCGATTTCAAAATGAGCACCTTCGATGGAGTCGTTCAAGAAATACCGTTTATTTCAGTCGATCGATTTGATGTTAAACGTGAACCTATGCCGAAAATTTTTTTTCTAACACATTGCCATACAGACCACACTAAAGATATATTCGATTTTACCTTTCAAAAGAAATTAATTGAAAATAATGCGTTTGTTTATGCGACCTCTGTTACTATAGCCGTTTTAAAAAAGGATTATAATCTTTCTTATATTTTTTCCCAATTGAAAGAAATAGAGGTTGGGAAAACTACCCTCATTAGTTACAAAGATGATGATGAAAATGAGCAACATTTACAAGTTACAGCAATAACAGCAGGGCATTGTCCTGGTTCTGTTATGTTTTTCTTTGAAGGTGATCAAAACGTTTTATGTACAGGCGATTTTCGTATCGATCCATCAGAATTACATAAATTTAAAGTATTTCATACTTCAACTGATCGCAAAAAAACTATCGATGCTATTTATTTAGATAGCACATTTTTCTCTAAAAAATACCCACATTTTCCTTCTCGCAAAGAAACCTGCGACGCATTGTGTAAAACCATTCAAGATTGGCTCGATCAAGCACCCGATCGAAAAGTCTTTTTAAAATTTCCCGCAAAATATAGTGCGGAATACTTATTTATCGCGTTAGCAAAAAATTTAAAACAAATAATCCATGTACCAACGTCAAAACGTTTATATAGCTTTATTCCCGAAATGGATGATGTAGTTTCAAGTCAAAATGATATTAATAACTACAGAATTCATACCGGTTTATACTTTAATTCGAAAAATTCTAATTATTCATGTTGTTATTTCAACGATAAAAAATCGATACTTTTAATTATTTTAACGGCTACAATATGGGAAAATTTTTCGTCGAATAAGAGTCCAGTTAAGATTTGCGAGAACGAAAATGTGGAAACGATTAGAATCTGTTTATCGTTTCATCCATCATATAAAGAAACTATAGATTTCTTAAAATATTTAAAACCGAAACGAGTCGAATTATGTGTTGTACCTGAGAAGGAGGAGGATAAAGAAGAAATGGAACAGTTACTTGATACTGTTTTGAAAGAAATTTGGAAAGATACTACAAATAAAGAGGGAAATGTAAAAAGATTTAAGTTTAAAACATATGATTCGTTTGAATTTAAAGAAGAAAATGATGTATGTGTTAACAACGGTTACACTAATGTTAAAAAAGATTTGTTGTCTTCTCCTCCTAGAAAAAAAAAGGATGTGAACAAAAAGTTTTTAATGAAATAATTTGTTAATGTTAAAAATTTTTATATTTTTGTACTTTTTATAATGTAAGACTACAAAGTAATGTTTTTTACAAATTTATAAAATAAATATCTATATAAATATTGTTCAGTTTCATCTATTACAAATACTGTTTTGTAGTACTAAGCTGAAAGACATTTCCAACCTTTCCCACAAAGCTAAACTGTCGTACCTAATAATGAAACAAATAGTTTATGATGTTATATTGAGAATTTCATATAACTCGCAATGTATGAATGCAGTAAAAGGTCCTTATGATAACTCTGAGTTTCCGTCTTAACCCATTAAAGACTGGTGATAAAAATAATTGAAAAAATTCTAACTTTTTTGTCAATAAACCTTTATTTAGGTCTTTAGAAACAATCTTTAAAATATAAAATACAACATGTTGCGTTAACGCAACATTGGGACCAACTCCATAGTAAATGGAAATTTACATTTGATGCACATAAATGCTATCGTGCTTTGATGTATAACACATTATAGTTTCAAAAATTGTGGAACCATGTCCTCTGGTGTATCTTAACTGTTGTTGACACTAATAAGGCTTCCTATATACAAGTTCCCATCTAAAATCCAACTGAGAAATTGGTTTGTCATTATATTGTTTGCCTGTGCAATATCTTCCTCATTGGTTAAATTGTCAACTTCGTGTGAAACATAACCAATATCAATTACTTCGTTGAGATCAAGATCTTCAAAAATTGCTTCAAGTTCTTTCAGCATTAAAGGCCTTTTGCAAATATTTGACCCTACTCTAAAGTCGCACATATACCCTGACGCATATATATTTACACCACTATAAAATTCTACATACTATCTAACTTTTCCACACTTTAAAAGTCTAGGTAAAAAGTTTTGGGTTTAGCCATGCGTCTGGCGTTCTGATTATTATTATTATTGCTGCCGGGCTGAGGAGGGCGGCCCCTCTCGTTACCGCGACCTATAAGATCTATTGTAACTTTAGCCCTCCAAAGGTTTAGGGCAAATGTAGGTCCTTAATGAACCTTAGTATTGTCCTGAGGTCTTGAACCTTTATGTCGGTAGGTAACAGGGGAGTTTTACCGAAGACGTTGTGCCTTAGACGGCCTCTGGCGACGCAATTGCACAGTATATGTTCAGCAGTTTCTGACTCGTCGTTGCATAGTCGACAAGTTTGATCCTCAGCTTGTCCAATGTGGAAGAGGTGGTATTTTAGGGGCACATGGCCGGTTAGGTAGCCTGAGAGCGTTCTTAGATCCCCTTTGCTGAGGCATAAAACCTCTTTGGTTTTGTTTTGCGACGGAGTTATCATACTCTTCGCTTGTCTGTGACCTGGAAGTTCTTTCCAGCGTAAGGCTATCTTTGAAGCCTCCCAGTTGTTGATTATTTGTTTTAGGTGGCTTTTTTGTAGTCCACATCCAGGTTGGGGTCCAATGAAGGGCGTGTTTGCTGCCTCTTTGGCCAGCTTNTTGTATATCTCGGCAACAGTATCATTTGAAAGAGGTATGGATTGTAATTGTTTGGCAAAATTATCTCCAAACATAGTTTCTACAATCTCCATCGCAACTGGCAGAATAAGGTCTTCACCAATGGTGTGAGCCTTTTTATATCTGGCTATTTTATATGATACTTTGTAAGAGGCAAGTAAAACTTTTTCGTTCACAAACAAAGTTTTTTTTGAAGAATGATGTTTGCTCTTCATATGACTAATTTTAATTCAAAGAATTCTCGAGGCTTGTTAACGTACTCACTATGAAGTGTTTCCAAATGGCGTCTAAGTTTATTAGGTTTTATGCTGCCTGCTGCCAAAATTTTTAAACAAATGACGCAAAAGAAAGGTAGGGGGGCGCCATAAAAATTGTTACTGAAAATTGGGGCCCGAATACTGAAACGTTGAGAAACGCTGGTCTAGCGTTAGTTCTGATGATAGTGCAAGTGTTAATTCTAGTTATTAGAAGTAACATTAGCACTAACACTAGACCAGGTGAGGAAAAAGGCCATCAAGGTTAACCAGATCTGCCGCAGGCTCCTAGGAAGGAACTGGGGTCTCAAACCACGAATGGCTGATTGGGCCTACGCAGCAATTATCAGACCCATGGTCTTTTACTAGTTGATCTATACAATTACTAATGACGCCCAGTTAAAGCTTACTAGTATATTACATAACGAAACCCAACCCAACCCAAAAAATGATTACTACTATACTTACTTACTACTTGCATCATATGCAATCCCTGCCATTAAAAAAATTATACCGTAAATTTTCTTTGTTATAATTTTTACTAACATCTGTTAGCAAATGCACCCATTGTCTAGTTTATGTACACATTCACTAGTAAATGTATACACTCCATTACTGACAAATACTTTCACTAAAACGTTCCGTTAATGTATACATTGATTGGCTAATTAACTAAAATACACACTTTACCTATGACATATACAAAAGGAGGCAGCTTTAAGTGCCTTATCACTGAAAACAGTTTCTTCACCCAAATTGATGCAGGATAACCTCAGAGGAAGACCCATGTCTAAATCACTTGATTGAAATTAAAACAACCTTATACCGAGAGAATACAATTTCAACCAGCCGTATAAGGTCATATTTAGAAGCAGGGATGATTGGGCGAAGGGTGGGCTTCAACTGAAAAGAGGAGCCCTAGCCTGGTACATCGATGCTTCAAAAACAGTTAGATTCGGAGTAGGCATTGGCATCAGTGGACCAAATAGCTACATCAAACTGCCCCTCAGCTCGGACATAACCATTTTTCAAGCAGAACTTCTTTCTATAAACTTCTACACCGCTTTGAACCTACATACAAAAGGGACAGAAAGGTGCATCCATAAACATTTTCACAGACATTCGGGCCACCCTAAAGGTAATTCATGTTGCTCTATGGGGGGTTCCGGGTCACAGAGACATTGAGGGCAATGAGAAGGCGGACAAGCTGGTCAAAGAAGCAGCGAACACGCCCTGCATTGGACCCCAACCCGGTTGTGGACTACAAAAAAGCCACCTAAAACAAGTAATCAACACAGACAAGCAAAGAGTATGATAACTCCATCGCAAAACAAAGCCAAAGACGTTTTATGTATCAGCAAACGGGATCTAAGGACGCTCTCAGGTTACCTGACCTGCCATGCGCCCCTAAAATACCCCCGCCTCTTCCATATTGGACAAGCTGAGGATCAAACTTGTCGTCTTTGCAACGACGAGTCAGAAACAGCTAAACATATACTGTGTAATTACGTGCCCTATCGACATAAAGGTACAAAACCTTGGACAATACTAAGGTTCATCAAAGACCTACATTTGCCCTAAACTTTTAGAGGGCTAAAGTTACAATAGATCTTATGTCACGGTAACGAGAGTCGTTGTAGGACGATTTTCCAAGTCTAATGTTATAATAGGATTTGACAAAAATTAAAAATAAATGAATTTAAATGGAAAAACATTTTTATTTAAACGCAATACAAAAAATATATAAAAACTTGTAAACTATTTAATACAACAAATATAAAGCAAATAGTATCGCCTCATTAATGGGCACGAAAACGTTTAGATAAAATATCCAGTCTCAAAAATGAAAAAGCGAACACGCGAAACCCTGTATTGTATAAAAAAATATACTCATATTATACATTTTGTACTCTAAAACCCTTCTGAGTAAAATTTCCAGCAAGAGTTTTATTACAAGGCTCAAACCCCAATAAATGAAACAGGAACATTACCAAAAAAGTGAAATTAAAAAGAACTAAACATTTTATTTTATTAACAATATACTTCCTAATATTTTTTTTTCTTTAAAATACATTATGCTAATAAAAAAGAAAATAAACGCCATCAAAAGCAACTCTTTTTATAAAAAAAGCTTTAGGAAACTCTAAAAATCATTTTTATCTCATCAAAAACAAACCATTTCTTCCACACATTACATCATATTCATTTTAAATCAACATTTTTCTTCACCTAAACAGCTGTAACATTCGTCGTTTCAATCCTAGAAATCGGTTCCATAATCTTCACGTTTAAAGTCGTTTCCGATTCAGAACCAATCTTCAAATTTTGCAAAATCTCAATAACATCATCGACAATAATCGGCGATTGAGGCTGTTGCTGATCATTTTTAACAGCTTTCGCATTCGCTTTGGCATAATGTAAATAACAAATCCCTTTGTACCCGCGCCATGTAATCACATTCGGTTTTATACCCCGTTCAATCAAAGCATTTTTCAAATCACGAACTCGAACATTTTTCTCAATATTGCTCACCATCAAGGAAAAATCAATTTGACGTTTATTACGTCGAAAAAGCGTGAAAGGGGCGTTTCTTCTCGGTGCTTGTTGGTTGGTATTGTTCGCTTTTGGCGTAATATTTCCATTTTCACCAAAACTCTAAATAATTTTAAAAATTAATGATAAATAATAATTAAGTTTTTTTTTTTTTAGTTACCGTGTCCCCATTTTCGCTTGGTTTATCGTCTTTTCTGACAATTTTACGTCGCCTAAAAAACTTCTTTTTTTGAAATTGTCTAGGATGAATATTCTCGTTATTCTCTTCACCTTGAGATTCGGAATTTTTCGTCTCAGAAAGGGGACGTCGTCGCTTAAAACGACGAAAACGGTAATTAAAACGTCTTCTTGGTTCGTAACTTTCAACATCTGTGTCAACTTCTTTTAATGTTGTGTCTTTTCCTTTTCTAAAAATAATTACAAATTTATTATTTTCTTCAATATAAAAAAAGAAGCATTTACAATTCTTGTACTTCTTTTAAAGCTTTTAAAATCGGCATCAAATTCAAACGCCTTTGCGAGAGGATATTCCACAAAATCCCAATTGGTCTATCTAAACGTTTTTCAATTTTAATTATTTGAGTTGGCGTCAAAATGTAATCAACTGGGACGTCGTATTCTTTAAAAATTTCTTTTGGTAACGTATCAAACACCTACATAAAATTAATTTGAGGAAAATAGCATTTAAATCAAACAAAGAACTAACTTGTGAATCATGAACTGTTGTAATAACAGTTGTTTTATCACTAACAGCATTCATTTCTAATAAAACTGCAAATTCCAAGTCGGCATAACCTCTTCCTTTACCAATTCGATAACCTTCTTTTGATACTGCAACACTTCCCAGTACCAAAAGATCAATGGGAATTTGATCAGTAATTCCAATAGTTTGGCCATTATGTTCGAGTCCGCGTCGACTTACCGCATTTTTTATATCGTTTTTAGTGGCCCCTTCTGGAATGGTAATGTATTTCAAAAAACCCTCCTTAAGTCTAGGAACGGGAACGTATAAATTCTTTTGATTCTCCAAAACCACGATTCGCGCCGCTTCTTGGGGTTTATCCGGATTAACTTCGATATATTTGCAATTTTTAAATTCGTCAAGTTCGAGGAGTTTAGCCGCGGCTTCTTCGCTCCCTTTAAAGTTTGGTATGCGACCGTGAACGGGTTTCGGAAAATTCGTCAGCTTATTTTTTTCTAAATAATCCCATACTTTACGTCTATACGTTTGTTTTCCGACTTTTATGTCTTTCTCTTCGCCTAAATTGATAACAAAACATTAATTTTAAATTAGTATGGAAATAAATTTGAGGTTATGTTTTACGAGAAACGAATTTTTACATTTTTTACCTTTAGAATTGGAAGAATCAGATTGATTTTGGTTTTCCGTAAATTCCGTTTGGCTCATTTTCACAAATCGAGTGAAAAATCACTTTAAAACCGTTTAAATTACGTTTATTCGATCTAAACAAGAACTTTCAAAACCACTTTGTTGATCATTATTTTGTTCTATTTGGTTGCCATGATGTAACTGCAATGAAATATTTTTCTTTTTTTTTTATCAAAGCCAACTTATGTTTCTTATTCTTTTTATTATAACTTTATAACCAAACAATTTTTTTAAATTTATTTATATTAATTAAAATAAATGACTTTTTTAATCACCAAGTCAATGTAACAATAATGATAACTTTATCTACACTTATTTTATATCCTTGAATGATTATCTCATTTTTATAGAAAATGCCAATATAAAACTAGATTAATAAGTTAGGTTAATAATATTTAATTAATTATTTTTATAATACATATACATAACAATAAATGTAAATGAGATAAAAGTCCATAATACCAAATATAACAAAATATTTAAAAAAAGATTACTTGAAGAATCACAGATAATTAAAACTATTAATTTCTTCATTTTCCTCATTCCAAATCGTTTTTATTTCAACGAATAGTTTGAGACATATGCAAAGGGGTCATCATTAATTCAAAGGTAGCATCTTTTAGGTTGGCCCCTCTTAAGTTTGCTTCATGTAAATCACTTCCAGACAAGTCGCAATTCTACAAAACAAATTTTTTAAATAAATCACTCCAATTTGAATATTCTGGAGTACCTCAAGATCTGCCCCTGCCATAACAGCAGCTCTCAAATCGCAATTCTTTAGCTTAGCATTCTTAAGAGTTGCAACACGCAAATTAACACCACCCATATCGCTTCCTTCCAAATTGGCACCTTTCAAATTCACACCTTCCATATTAGCCCTACTTCCAGCTGGATCTTCAAAGTTACAATTTCGTAATTGGGCACCTTCCATGTTTGCACATAAACTTTTAACACCTAAAACAAAAATTTGGTTATTTTTTAATATTAATTAAATCTTATTGGTTAAAATGAATTGTCGGTGTGAAAACAGCAACCCGTTTTACCAAAGACATCCGAGTATACGCTAAAGTCGGTTTTACACGATCATTTTTAGGTAAAATAAAAAGTAAAGTGTATCTAAAACTACCCCTTATGAAATAGAGTGGTCAGATTTTGTTGCCGTCATTTCCTAAAGACGCTTTTAGCCATCCCCAAGAAAAAAAATTCCCATTTTTTTACCTACAACGCATTCTGAGTAATTCCTTCGGTCCCTCACAACGTGTTAAGGGTATTTAGATTTACTCAAAAGCCGAAATTAAGCAATTTCGCGCATTATGGTCGCCAAAAAGTACCTACAACGCGTTGTAAGTATTTAACGTTTACTCAAAACACATTGTGTACACCAAAAAGTATTTCACGGTTGCTCACAACGTGTTGTGGCTATTCGATGTTTACCCACAATCGATTGCTTTCATTTTGCAGCCAGCAACATTATTTCTAAACATTTTTGCAGTGGTTTTGTTATTCTGACCTTAAAATCGGTAAATATAATAGCGTAATAATAACTGCAATACGTGAAATGTGAATGTGGTCATTAAAGATGACCTGTCACCTTTAACAGGTCATCTTTAATGATCGATGATCGTTATAATACAATATTAAATCAAGTAAAAGAGGTGAAAGGGAAAAGAAAAGACGCGGAATAGCTTTATTTTCTCAAAATTATCGCCGCATTAAACGTTTTGATATACTAATAATTGGTGATCATGATAAATTAATTCAAGCAACGGCAAACTTCCAACTAAAATACGTTTATAGAATCGAGGAAATATTTGACATTTTAGACTCTACACATAAAAAATGAAGTTATAAAAAGAAAAAAGCGAATAAATCGAAAATATTGTAACATAACACGACAAATTATTGATATATATTTAAACCTTTATGAATGTTGTGCGCTGAAGAAGAAAGCAAAATGAAAATGAGAAATTATTCATAGGTAGATCTCATATTCTGAAGTATTAAGACCATTCAACAAAGATTATAGTACTGCGTCCACTAAAAACAAAGACTGCTGAAGAAGCACATGTCAATTTGGATATATTTTGCTTAATTGGAGCTCCTAACATTCCTCATAGTGACAATGGTCGTGAGTTCGCGAATAAGGTGACAAATTTTCGATAATTTCCTATTATTTCGATACTTGAGTTTATTTTTCCTATAAACGAGTATTTTGATTCAGCTAATAAAAGAGTTAGCTAAGATTGTACCACGACATTCCAAGCCAAGGCTCTGTTGAACAAGCTAACCAAGATGTCCGTAATAGTTTGGTGGCTTGGATGAGAGATAATAATTCGACGAACCGGTCTTCATTTTGTTCAAAGTTCGAAATATTTGAGTTATCATAGCCCGTACGAAGCTTTGTTTGGAATTACACAAAAAATGGACTCCTGAATTTATGCTTACCAAGTGATATAGTTCAAAATTTAACGACGGAAGAAGATCTTGAAGAGCATTTACGTAAAATTAATCAAAATGTCAAATCAAACATAGAGAATATAGCAGACCAATGAAAATTTATCACCAGTTTTGGTAATGGAAGAACATCGCAGAGTTTGTTCAGTCTGCAATGAGGAATATAATGAAGAAGTATCTTCCTTTGAGTGTGCTGAATTTTATGTCAACCTATCCGATATACCTTTATGTCACCTTTGTGCTAAAAAAGGGATTAGTAGTTCTCGAAAAAGCTGTAAACGCGAGTTAGAGGAACAAGGAAGAAAAATGATCGAGAATTCAAACAAGAAATTTCCACCAGTTGGAGACAATATTTTGATAGACAATCCAGATGTGGCTAGTCGTCCACAACCATTGTCACTGTGAAGAATGTTAGGAGCTTCAAGTAAGCAAAATATATGCAAAATAACATCTGCTACTTCTTCAGCAGTCTTTGTTTTTAGTGGACGCAGTACTAAAAACTTTGTTAAATGATCTTGATAGTTCAAAATATGATAATAATTATACCAACAAAATATATTAGCTGTTATAATGGAAGAAGTTCACCCAAATATATTTTCTGTTGACTAATAACGGCACGCTAAATAAGTTATATTCAAGAAATGAATTTCAACTAGCTCCTAATAAGTTTATAAATGTAGCTAATGTTTCCAACAAGAAAGTGACAGTTCGACAAGAAGCAATCATTTCACAACGCGTTCTAGATACTTTTTGGTGTGCACAATGTGCAAAACTGGTTAATTTCGGCTTTTCAGTAAACCTAAATAACCTCAGTCAGATCAGCGGAGCAGATTTGCGTTTACTTGTGGCGAATTTTTTCCGTTTGTGGGTGAGAAAACCGTCTTTAGGAAATGAGTGCAACAAAATCTGGCCACGCTATCTTATAGAGGATAATTTTAGATACAATTAGCAGTAGTCAGATACGGCGTTTATTTGTGGCGAATTTTTTTCGTTGGGGCGTGGGAAAACCGTCTTTAGGAAATGAGTGCAACAAAATCTGGCCATGCTATCTTGTAGAGGATAATTTTAGATACAATTAGCAGTAGTCAGATACGCGGAGGACATTTGCGTTCATTTGTGGCGAATTTTTTTCGATTGGGAGTGAGAATACCGTCTTTAGGAAATGAGTGCAACAAAATCTGGCCATGCTATCTTGTAGAGGATAATTTTAGATACAATTAGCAGTAGTCAGATACGCGGAGGACATTTGCGTTCATTTGTGGCGAATTTTTTTCGATTGGGAGTGAGAATACCGTCTTTAGGAAATGAGTGCAACAAAATCTGGCCATGCTATCTTGTAGAGACTAATTTTAGATGCAATTAGCAGTAGTCAGATACGTGGACCACATTTGCGTTTACTTGAGGCGAATTTTTTTCGGTTGGGGGTGGCTAAAACCGTTTTTGGGAAATGAGTGCAACAAAATCTGGCCACGCTATCTTATAGAGGATAATTTTAGATACAATTAGCAGTAGTCAGATACGCGGAGGACATTTGCGTTCATTTGTGGCGAATTTTTTTCGGTTAGGGTGGCTAAAACCGTCTTTAGGAAACGAGTGCAACAAAATCTGGCCACGTTATCTTATAGAGGATAATTTAAGATACAATTAACAGTAGTCAGATACGCGGAGCACATTTGCGTTTACTTGTGGCGAATTTTTTTCGTTAGGGGGTGGGAAAAGCGTCTTTAGGAAATGAGTGCAACAAAATCTGGCCACGCTATCTTATAGAGGACAATTTAAGATACAATTAACAGTAGTCAGATACGCGGAGCACATTTGCGTTTACTTGTGGCGAATTTTTTTCGTTTGGGGTTGGCGTCCTTGGGAAATGACTGCAAGAAAATCTGGGCACACTATCTCATAAGGGGTACTCGAATTTGTTGCTATGTTTGGCGTGCTGTTTTCACACCAGTAAATAAATTTACCAAGTAATTGAGCTCCATCTAAAATAGCTTGAGATAAATCGGCCCTTTCCAAACAACACCAACTCAAATTGGCTCCAACTAACTTACAATTCTGCATATTGGCATATTTAAAATTAATATATCTGAGATCTAATTTACTTAAATCGGCTCCGGCTAAACTAACACCTTGGAATCTTAATTCTGAAGTGTAAGGGCATCGAATTAATGCATCAATAATGTCTCTTCTAGTTAGAGGAAGTTCATCTCGCGGGATTTGTCTCGCTGTAATAATTCTTTCTAAAATAGGAACTAAAGATTCAATACCATAGAATCTAGCCTCTTCAAGTATTCCTTCAGGATTGACGTTATCATCATAAATTAATTGACCGTTTCGAAGATAATACAAGATTGGTTCAAAATAAGTTGGGCTACGATCGATAAGGAAAGCTCCTGAGGCGTCTTTATTGCTTGGGGTGTAAATGTAGTCCCCTTTTTCTTCAGCAAACATCCGCGCCAACATACTAAAAGGATCTTTTGTTGTCAGGGTGGTTTTTGATGTGGTAAATAATTTCCCGCCAATATTTAAAGTGATCCATTCCGATGGTAATTTTTTTTCGTTTATAAAATGTTCACCCGATGATATAAACAGTTTATCGTTGTCACGGATTAAGTGGATATCATCGATTTCGCCACCGTCTTCGGTAAAAATTAATTTCGCATCGATTTCGAGCTTTTTACTGCACTTTTTTAAAAATAAATCTAAGCTGTCACATACAAATATAACCTACAAATTTAAATTGAATTAATAAGGAGGAAATTAAAATTAATTATAAAAGTTTTTATTTAAATTTTTTTTTTCGATACCTTTCCTTTAGCTTTCGTTCCATTTTTGAAAATAGTAACGCGTTTATCGCACATAACTCAACATACAAAAAGCAAGTTCTTCGACAAAATTGACAATAACAACAGCTCCAAAAAAATCTGCACCAGGAAGCAGAATCGCCAACCTACTGCGAAAAAAACTGATCCACCTTGAAGTGACGGATGTGAATTTATATTATTTTCAAAGATTTATCGAGTTATGATCTTTATGGTCACGATAAATACTTCAGAGTCAAGGTTTTTCTATAATTAAATTTTTTACGTTTAATTCCATTCTCTCCAAGATTTATTTTAAATTTGGCGCGTGGTTATTGTTTTGTTTTGACGGGTATCGTAATTAAACCACACGAAACGCTAGATACAATCTTATATTATCATAATTTTTGCGAATTTTTGTTAAAATAAGGAGATTTTGTTATCAATTTCGTAAGATAAATCAATGAGTAAATATTAAGTGTTGCATGACAAACATTTATTCAACAGTGCCTTAACAGATTAGGAAGTTAAAATGTTGTAAACGAGCGATAATGGAACAATTGTTCAAAACGAAGATAAATTTTTAACTTGTATTTACAACTGAATTGCGTTTTAGTTGTTATAAATAAACAACTTGGTTTAAAACGAGAATTTAAAAAATTACAGAGATTATTAGATAGAGGATAATTTATTATGAGTTGAAAATAGCAGGGTAATAAAAGGTTTATACAATAATATTTTGTTACTTCATTATTAATTATAATGTTAAAATTTATAATAAATTAAATACTATTTTGAAAGCTTATTATTAATTTTATTATAATTTATACATTTTTTTGGAGGTTATGCAACCCAAACTGCTTAAAATGCAGAATTGAATTAAAAAAATCATATCTCCGAAATATGAAGATTTTATTCCTTAAAATATCAAGTACTAAGTAAATTTGGTTTAAATCCTTTTTTCTTTCATGATGATATCTCAATTCGTTCTTGAGATACGACTTTTTTTTTTATACTACAAATCTGTAACAATCGCTCATGAAGAGTATGATTTAAAAAATCATAACAATTATGTTTATGGGAATTAAGAATATATTTATGGCACATTAATTCTGTATTAAATCTGCTTTAAAATGTTATTTATTTCATGATGATATCTCAATTCGTTCTTGAGATACGATTTATTTTATACCACAAAACAATAGCAATCGCTCACGCAGAGTTTAATTTAAAAAATCATAACAATGATGTTTATGGGAATTAAGAATTTATTTATGGCACATTGATTCTGGATTAAATTTGCTTTAAAATGTTATTTATTTCATGATGATATCTCAATTCGTTCTTGAGATACGATTTTTTTTTCATACTACAAATCTATAACAATCGCTCACGCAGAGTTTGATTTAAAAAATCATAACAACGATGTTTATGGGAATTAAGAATTTATTTATGGCACATTAATTCTGTATTAAATTTGCTTTAAAATGTTATTTATTTCATGATGATATCTCAATTCGTTCTTGAGATACGATTTTTTTTCAAACTACAAATTTATAACAATCGCTCATGAAGAGTTTGATTTAAAAAATCATAACAATGATGTTTATGGGAATTAAGAATTTATTTATGGCATATTGATTCTCGATTAAATCTGCTTTAAAATGTAATTTATTTCATGATGATATCTCAATTCGTTCTTGAGATACAATTTTTTTTTTCATACTACAAATCTATAACAATCGCTATGAAGAGTTTGATTTAAAAAATCATAACTACTATGTTTATGGGAATTAAGAATTTATTTATGGCACATTGATTCTGTATTAAATCTGCTTTAAAATGTTATTTATTTCATGATGATATCTCAATTCGTTCTTGAGATACGATTTTTTTCATACCACAAATCCATAACAATCGCTCACACAGAATTTGATTTAAAAAATCATAACAACGATGTTTGTGGGAATTAAGAATTTATTTATGGCAAATTCATTCTGCATTAAATTTGCTTTAAAATGTTATTTATTTCATGATGATATCTCAATTCGTTCTTGAGATACGATTTTTTTTTTCATACTACAAATCTATAACAATCGCTCATGAAGAGTTTGATTTAAAAAATCATAACAACGATGTTTATGGGAATTAAGAATTTATTTATGGCACATTGATTCTGTATTAAATTTGCTTTAAAATGTTATTTATTTCATGATGATATCTCAATTCGTTCTTGTGATACGATTTTTTTTATACTACAAATCTATAACAATCGCTCATGAAAAGTTTGATTTAAAAAATCATAACAATGATGTTTATGGGAATTAAGAATTTATTTATGGCACATTGATTCTGGATTAAATCTGCTTTAAAATGTTATTTATTTCATGATGATATCTCAATTCGTTCTTGAGATACGATTTTTTTTTCATACTACAAATCTATGACAATCGCTCATGCAGAGTTTGATTTAAAAAATCATAACAACGATGTTTATGGGAATTAAGAATTTATTTATGGCATATTGATTCTGGATTAAATCTGCTTTAAAATGTTATTTATTTCACGATGATATCTCAATTCGTTCTTAAGATACGATTTTTTTTTATACTACAAATCTATAACAATCGCTCATGAACAGTTTGATTTAAAAAATCATAACAACGATGTTTATGGGAATTAAGAATTTATTTATGGCACATTGATTCTGTATTAAATTTGCTTTAAATTGTTGTTAATTTCGTCATTACATCTCAAGCGGTTTTTGAAATATTCTTGGGTATTAATAAAAACGATATTTATACATAAAAATATAATTTTATTGATTGGTCCTATATAAACACGTAACATTTAACTTTCATCTTAACTTCTAAAAATCGAAAAAAGTTAATTGATTCAAGTACCATCCGAAATTTCAACAGGCGAAGGCGTCCTATCAATAAAATCGATATTTTGCAACACTCCCTTTTCTTTCTTAGCGGTCGTTTTCACCGTATTCGGAACATTCAATCGATCTTCTTGGGATGACGATATCGCCCCATCACCACCCGATTTAAATTTATCGAACGATTTACTTCCTTTTTTCAGGGTCGAGTCATAACTCATCATTTTTTTAATTCGCGGAGAAGACGCGCAGCAATGATCCAATTTCGGATAACTTTGACAGGTGGGAATTTGAGGATCGTCGAATTTTTTAGTTTCCAACGGATCTGAAAGGTTCATTGCCGTGCGTAATTCTTCTTCCCAAGCTAATTCTTTTCTTTCGCGTTCTTTACGTTCAAGTTCTTGAAATCGATTGTAAATTTTAAATTCTGGGATAATACCTGGTTGATCTGATGGAGATTCTTCCTGTAACAAAGTAAATTAAAAATAATAAATTTACGTAATTGTGATATTGAAAATACTTGTTCCACGTTGATTCCTTGGATTTCTCTGATTGATCTTTGTTTAGCCAAGCGCTTCTTTTTCTTGTGTAATGGTTTCGTTTCAATGATCATCTCTTCGAGCTCGAATGTTGGGTCGCAATTTAAATGATCCTTCTGCAAAAACACAATTAATTTTTTGTTGGTTATCTTTTACGGGATGTTTGGTAAAAAATTATAATTGGATTTTTGTTCATCTTCTAATACTAATACTTCTGACTGCAAAGAAAACTTTTATTTAACTTTACGGGATATTGTTTTTCGATTAGCGCCTTCTTTCGATAAGTTCCGGGAGAACTTTTCTTATTATCACTACTATTGTCTTTTCTCGACTTCTTTAATTACATCTGGGAGTGCGCAAACTCTTTTTAAATTATTAAAAATTAAATTACTTACGGGGGGAGCAAAATATGGTTTGTATTTTCTTTGTAAAACTAAATCCATGTCGTATTTATGAAGACATTTAACTTTTCTTAACTCTTGTAGAGACGAAATTCGTTCCCCAGGGCTAATACATAGCAACTAAAACCAGCGAAAAACGTGATTTCTGTAACATTAAATTTACAAAATACCTTTGAAAGTAAATCGACTAAATGATCACTCCAAGAAGAAGGATACTCAACCCCCAAATGAAAAAGAACCCTAACTTCTTGGATAGTTGTCCCAGAATGGATATCGTAAGGGCGACATCCCCTTAAAATCTCATAAGCCACAACACCTAAAGACCACCAATCAACAGCGTACGAATATCCAACGCAAAGATCTAACGCACAATCAAAAATTTCCGGGGCAATGTACGGTTTGGTACCGGACATAGAAGTGGCTAAATCGGAAGTATTAAGAACCGTTGCAATGTTGAAATCGGTGATGTGAATGTGACCTAAAAATTTAAATTATTTAAATCCCATTATTTATTAGATATGGAAACTGTGTTATTGACGTGAAAATTGGAAGGGAAATGACGGAAATCGAAACGAGGTGTGATTTTATGATCGGGAAAATTTGAAACATTGAAGGAAAAATTTACATATATCCGAAGCGGGTCTTACCGTCTTCGTCGAGAAGAATGTTGTCGGGTTTGATATCTCTGAAAAAAAAAAAGAAAATGAAAAGTGGGGTTGGTGTATTAAAAACGTCTTTTTTATGTGGCGTTCTTTGAAACTGGAAATGTCAGACAAAAAGGTTTCGGGCGAAAAAGCGTAAAATAGAAAAGAACGTTTTTTTGTAATATGAAATTCTATGGAATTTTTAATATTAAAACGATATTATAAAGAATTACGGAATATTTTTATCTCATTGTTGAAGTTTTTATGCAAGTTATTACTTACACTTAAATTAAATCATATTACACAAAGTTTGCAATATATACTCTAGTAATTAATTAATAATTATTACTGTAAATGGAAACGTTTTGGCAATCGACTTGACTACGTCACTTTTTCAATTCTAGGGGGTCGTGCAAAGTAACTAATCCATCTTAATTACATGGAGTATGTTAGAAGAGCCGAAAGCAATATCCAATCTGGATTTGAATCTGGTTCACCTTTAGGTGGTGATCCTTCTCCAATCCAGCAGAATGTGGATTGTGTGGAAACCGATGCCCTTTCTTTGAGTCAGATGCAGTTAATCAAGGAATGTTCACACTCTTTGTCCCTTCCTTTAACTATTTTATTTAACGATTCATTAGTAATGAGTGTCTTTCCTCCATTGTGGAATATAGCTTTTATTCTTCCCATTTTTAAATCTGGGGACATATCTATTTTGTCAGCATTTGGGAAAGTGTTTGAGAAATGGTTCAAGCACGTCTATTCTTTGCTCTAGTCTAAAATCAATTGTATACAACATGGTTTTTCTTTGTTACTCGCTCGATTGAGAGTAACTTGCTTGAATATACTCAATATATCTTATCTATCTAGGCCCATCTAGGTAGTAATAATTGGTGATAATTACACAAAGATCCTTCAAGAAAATTCTATCAAAACTTCAAATATTGTTTTCTCCAAAATTAAAAGTTATTTTTCAAAACGGGTTGGTTCATTGGAAAGAGGACACTTTTATTACCACTTTGGGAAACTTTCATACTCATATTCCAAGAATTGGATTTTATACGAATTTTTAAAACTTAATCGACGGAAATTGCAAAATTCGAAAAAAATTGTCGATTATTTCAAAAATTTTTTTCTCAAGAACTAAAAGTAATTTTTCAAAACGGCTTTTTGCATTAAAAAGAGGATACTTTAATTAATAATTGGTGATATTTCCACAAGATCCTTCAAGAAATTAATTTTATAGCGAATTTTGAAAATTATCGATGAAAATTGCAACATCGAAAATTTTATCAAAACTTCAAATATTGTTTTCTCAAAAACTAAAAGTTATTTTTCAAAACGGATAGGTTCATTGCAAAGAGGATACTTTTATTAATACGTTGCGAAATTTTCATACTCATATTCCAAGAATTGGATTTTATACGAATTTTTAAAACTTAATTGACGGAAATAGCAAAATTCGTAAAAATTGTCGATCATTTCAAAAATTTTTTTCTCAAGAACTGAAAGTGATTTTTCAAAACGGCTTTTTGCATTAAAAAGAGGATACTTTAATTAATAATTGGTGATATTTCCACAACGATCCTTCAAGAAATTAATTTTATAACGAATTTTGAAAATTGCAACATTGAAAATTTTATCAAAACTTCAAACATTGTTTTCTCAAAAACTAAAAGTTATTTTTCAAAACGGATAGGTTCATTGCAAAGAGGACACTTTTATTAATACGTTGCGAAATTTTCATACTCATATTCCAAGAACTGGATTTTATACGAATTTTTAAAACTTAATTTGACTGAATACTTTTTAACTTATTTCTGAGGAAGGTTGCAACGAAACGTCGAATAATATTTTAATAGGCGCACCATATAACTTGAGAGCCTACGAACTTCTAAAGTTACATTCTTACAGTAAGTTAAACCCTACATAACTCAATAACTATTTCACGTTGATATTCACAATAGAATTTAAATTGGATATTAACATTCCGGACAATTTCTGGAAGTTTACCCTCGCGCGACTAGTTAAGTTATGTAATAAACTTCAAAATTATTGTCGTCGTGTAACGATCCTTTCCAATACACCGGAATTTATTAGTTTCGTTACTCAAAATTGAATTATTGATGATTAATAAGATAAAACGAGTTATTATAATACTCTATTAAATATCAAATATCTCAGGAACATGATTGCGTTCGGTGTTTCTCAAGGTCGACCACCCAGGTGAAATTTGGCAAACATTAATTACAAGCACTCAATTCGCAATTACGATTAATTAACAAAGTTAGGGGAGCAGTAACTTGAGGTCGTGCGGAGTTGCCGTGTCTCCTCAACGAACGTTTAGCGATGTTGCTAACTGATGGTGAAAATTTCAAACTAACAAGTATAGATTTTAAGTTATAATTTTTACCTATGAATAATTCTCTTCGATTTAAGATAGTCGAGAGCGCAAGCGACTTCGCATATAATTAATTTGACTCCTTCCTCTGTGAAATTGACTTCTTGTGTGATGTGGTATCTCAAATCTCCACCAATAAGAAGATCGGTGACCATAAAGAGATCCTCTTCGTCTTGAAATGAGAACCAAATATTGACGAGAAACGGATGGTCCAATTTGGTCAGAATTTCCACTTCTCTTAACACGTTCTTAAGGGCATCTCTTTCCATACATTGGTGTTTGTTCATGTATTTCATTGCAAACATTTGTTTTGTATCTTTTTTTTGTACGATGCATACCTGGTAAGAAAAAGAAAACATTTTTAATCTCAAAAAATTAAGGTAATTAAAATTAATAATAATGGAATGTAATTTTCGGCGAAATTTCTTCGGTATACATAGTTCGACGCGTTATTTCATGCTCACCGTGGTTGACGAAGGGTAAATATTGTCTTTCCCAGAGTCCACCCACCCTCATCCCGACTCGACGATAAATTCCGCGCATGCAATAATCGGATTACGTTTCCGATGCAAGATTTCGCAGATTTCGGGCGTTCACGTTTACCTTCTCTTTCCACTTACCTCGTCTTGCTTGCTTTTAACTCACGAGGCAGGTAGATGATGAACTAAATATTGATGGTTTATTAGCGTTCACTCTAATTTCCACATGAGAAATTCTACGTAGTACTTCAATTAGTGTTAGCATTTTAATCGGATTATTGGTATCTGAAGTGAAATCGCTTACTTAACCTATTTGCATCATAAGATATGCGTGGATTTTAATTTTTGCTAACTATAACACACACGTATTTAATAATAATAATTCTATTGATAGTGTTTGTTCTAATTCTAGTTTCGTCTTGTATGTAATGTTATTTTAACTACACAAAACACATAATTTCTCAAAAAGCTTTGGAGACAACTCCAACTTTAATGGTGTACGCCCAGATAAGACTCTTTACCTAGTCGTAGACCCTTTCCAACAATGTTTCATGCGAAGCAAGTGTTATCTTTCTGGCACGAGCACACGCTACTTGGTCGTATAATTTTATGGTAGTGATAAACACGTTAGGGTAATAACGATTTATGACAATTACTCCGAGCCGTGGGGTCCCTCCGGGTCGAGATTTGGCTATTAACCCAAAGTTGTAACTTTCTTTCGTGGTCATTATGCGGTTTTACTGTGTCCTAAATAAATTGTCTAAAAAATCCAGTCTAAAAATAATCCGGAAAGTGAATAATTCTCTAAACGGTTTGTTTGTAACTTTGTTTTATTCGCACGATAACATCAATACGTTTGCAAATGGGAAAAAATGAAAAGGGATTATTTAACAGTATGATTACCATAAAATTCATTCGTTAGTATTAGCTATATCGGCGGGAAATTGGTGATAAAACCGATGAAATCTAGAGTGACGTGAATGTAATTATCGGTTTCGATTGGTTCCAATTAAAACTCGCGGCGGTATATCAACCGTCAATTTGGTGTTGAAATATCTATCAGTTTGAATAAACGAATTGTAATTTCCATTCGTGCGGTTTCTCACGCCTTTAATTAATTATTATTAATAATAACAGTTTGATACAATATTATTTTAACATATTGTAATAATATTGGGTTCCACTCATAATTTTATTAATTAATTAATAAACAATAGTTTTGTTATAAGAAATAATTACAATAAAGAGAAAATAATGGCATTCCGTAGAAAAATCCTTGTAAATCGAGAGCCTAGAGAGTTTATTAGTACTTCTTCAAATCTAAAAAAATAGATAAATACAATTCAATCAGATAAAAACAACAATAAAATCAGTGATCTTACCGTTCAAATTAATATTATAATTAAAATATAAAGAACAACTCACGTATTGATATCAAAGTTGATATACCGAGGATAGTTAAAGCTGATCGTTGAAAAATTTCATAAAAGTTTGTTATAGTTCTCATAAATTTCGTCGTTATTTGTAAAAATGTTTTAATCAATGATAAATCCGTTCGTATTTCCGTCGTAGATTAAGAAATATTCTTGTATTTAGACACAAAAAAACGAAACATAACCTCCAAATCCAAAGTATTCAATTTATGGGTGATTACAGCCAAAAAACTTCTTGAAATACCTAAAAACATAAACCTTATAATGAATTACATCAGATTCAAGTGATTTTAATCAGTTTAAAACCGAAATGTTGGAATTTAAAAATGTGAAGATTTTGAAAGAAACGGAATATAAATTTTAGAATTAAAGAAGAATTAATGTGAAAAATTGTGTCATAGGGGAATGAAATAATTCAGAGTATTCAGTCATTGAAGGATTTCAATAAATATAGTTTATTTAAAAAGTAATTTTTGAAAATTTGGAAGAAAAACCAAATGTCAATAAGAGATGGCGCTCAGAAATATAAATTTTTAACACTTTTTTTGTGGTATCAAAGAGGGTGATGGACAAAAACGGGAAGTTTTGTGAAAAATGGATAACGAGGACGCGAGAATTTGCTTCATTCGCTTCCTGATCATCATTGAGTAAACATCTATTTCGAAACGCTCGTGAAATCCTACGAAGATAAATTTCTGAAGAAAAAACATAACCAAAGAAATTCACAATTGAGGGAGAAGAAAAGAAGCTAAAATTAATTAAGAAGAGTACGATAACCAACCTGGGAAAGAAGACATCGGAATAGTTTTTCCGGAAAGCCACCAAGGGGGTACCAGCACATTCCACCAAGGGGGAAAAAGGAGCAGTTCAAACCAGGGAGGAATCAAGATTTCAATCAATTCCACCAACATCTGTAAAACCAAAGAAGTTAAGATTTTTTTTT